TTCCGACGTCATAGCTCTCTATGGCTTAACATCATCAGCGTAAAGTAGAATTGGGGAGCTGAGATTCAGTGGGAGGTCGTTCACAAAAAGAAGGGATAGCAGTGAACCCGGAATCGCCCCTTGCGATACACCAGGTGATGATGTCCTCCAAGTCGAGAAAACTCTGTTGGCTTTTGTGCAGAATTGTCTACCGTCTAGATAGTCATGCAACCATGAAAGCACTTGTCCCTTGATGCCCAAGCTTTCTACTATGTGAATAAGAACGGTGTGTGAAACTCTGCCGAAGGCCTTAGTAAAATCCAGGAAAATAACATGGACAGAAATTTGGAGGTCCCAGCGTGCCGTCCACTTGTCACCTGCCACCAGAATGTTTGTGGCACAGGACCTACCCTTTCTGAAACTATGTTGTGCATCACTATGTGCTCCTCTCTTTTCTAAGTACTCCCGAGATGGTCGTCTACCAGACTCTCCATTACTTTTGACACCACTGGTGGGAGGGCTATGGGTCGGTAGCATTTTGGGTTCTGCTTGTCTCCACCTTTGAAGATAGGGGACAGAATGGCACTTTTCCACCCTTGTGGAAGCGTGTGATTGTCTAACGAGTGTTGAAACAAGTTACACAGCGGACCGCACACGGCACCCGCGCGTTGTTTCAGCACAGCCGGTCGGATGTCATCACACCCTGGTGATTTTCCTGGGCGTAGCTTTGATGGCTTTTCGGGGGCCATAGCAGGAGTTGCCCTTATTCCAGGTAACTCTACTGTGTTTGGTGGTGCTGAATTTCGGTCGGACAGTTGGTAATTTTGGTTTGATAGGGACTTATTGAGTTACGTGTCGAGCATGGCACTAAAGGCCTCGGCTATCTCTAGTCCGGAGAGGAACTCTCCGTGTAGGCCTTTCAGGACGCAAGCCCCCTGGCCGGTGGATTTTCTGCCTGCCATAAGCCGATATAGGTTTTTGGGATTTGCCTCGAGCTTTTGAGCAAGGTTCGTCTGGAATGGCCTCCTGTCCCCCCCCCCACTCTGATGCTACATCGATTTCTCGGGGCAGCATACACGGTGTGGTCAGACACTTTTCTGGGGGTCCTCCACTTGTGCCATGCTTTCCTCCTGGCTTTCAAAAGGCTTCCAGTGCCTCGCTTCAACCGTGAGATTCGTTTCCGCGGTGTTGATGTGATTACCGGGACGTTTTCAGAGACAGCCCTCCTGATGATATCTCTGACTAGTTCCCAATGCAAGGCAAGACAGTCACGCAGGAACCTACGGTTTACCCACAAGTGGGAGCAACATGAACCTAGCCTGGTTAATCAGTTCACTAGTCACTAGCCGGTCCTAAGCCCGGAGAAGGAGGGAGGGTTGGGCGAAGGGCCAGCAAACCTACCTCGTAAAACCAATACAACCACTACAAAAGCTTCAAGGCACAGACATTATAAAAATAAAAGCAAACTTATCCCCTGCCGGAATCGGAGAGGCGAAATGACGTCTGTTGGCAAAAGCCTTGGGGAGGCCAGTCGGCCGATGTGTCTTCTGTCGATGAAAGCGGTGTTTGAACCTAGCAAGGCTGCCCAGGTTGCAAAAGAGATGAGAAGGCATCGTACAGAGGTGCTAGGAATCTGCAACAGCACATGGAATGCAAGTGGACTGTCCAAACTGTCAACTGGAGAGTCAATAATCTACCCGATATTGTCACTCAAACAACAACCACGAGCACACTGAGTTTTGGAAAGACTATCATGATGTTCCTAAGGGCATCGAAGACTCCCATACAGTAGGACCCAATCCTCCTCCAGGGTCATGACAGCAAGATTCAAATCAAAAGGGAGGAAGGTCACAATCATTCAATGCCACGCTATACACATGCGAATAATGCGGATGAAGAGAAGAGGGGGGAGTTATATAGACAACTGCAATCAGCACTGGACATGACCCCATCCCAGTTGGTGACATCAAAATTCTAATAGGCGCCATGAATGTCAAACTCGGAGCGGATAAAACAGGAAAAGAACTCACCATGGGCCGAGAAGCACTCGGTGAAATGAATGAGAGTGAAGAATTGTTTACGGAATTCTGCGCATTCAATGATTTGGTGATTGGAGGCATTGTGTTCAAGCACAAGGACATTCACAAAGCGGCATGGACTTCACCAAATGGACACACTAAAAATCAGCTTGACTTCATCTCAGTGTGAAGAAAGTAGAGACGCAGCCAGCCTACTGGGCACAAGATGAAGAAGGGGAGCAGACGCAGGTTCACATCACTCACTGTCCAGTGCAAGGAACCTTCAAAATCAAGTTGAAGGCCTTCCAGGAAGTCAGTGATAGACCACAGTTCAAGTTCAATACACTGAAACTGAAATACGGGGAACATCTTCACGTCAGCCATCAAGACTAAATGGGAGATATCGGGAGACATCCCTGAAGAAACCAGTGTGGATAAGCGCTGGAAGTCTTTGAAAGCTATGTGGAAGGAAACCTGCACAACCGTATTAGGAAGGAAGAAGAAAGAAGATAAGGAATGGATGTCGACGGACACATGGAAGCTGATAGGGAAGGGAGAGGAGGACGGTGAGGCAGAAGACGGACCAGTGCAATGCAGGGGTGAAAAACGAGCAGAGGAACTGAGTACAATGTATAAAACACTACACTGGACAAAAAAGTAAAGCAGAGTGCGCGCAAAGACAAGGGACACTTCTACGACACGTTGACATGTGTGAAGCAGAACAGGCTGCTGGTAGGAGAGGCCTGACAACACTGTGTCAAATAATCAGGTTACTATCTGGGAAGAGATCAATACAGATGAAGCCAATAAAATGTGATGAAGGAAACCCAATTACTAAAGAAGGGGAACAAAGGAAACGACGGGCTAACCAATTTTAAAAACTCTTGAATCGACAGCCACCTGCACTTCGCCCAGAAATAACACCTGCAGCCACAGAACCACAAGTGAACACAAGCCCTTCGGTGAAAGTCAAAGTCCTAGATGCCACAAGGCTGCTGAAATGCGGGAAATCAACAGGACCAGATGGAATCCTGTCGGTAACACTGAGAACAGACGCAGGAACGACGGCGGACATGCTCACACCACACCACCATTGCAGAAGGTCTGGAAGGAAGGAAAGATACTTGGCGATTGATCAGAGGAAGGATTACCTTGTCAAAGTTCCGAAGAAGGGCGGCCTAAGTGTTTGCAAGAACTGGCGTGGAATCACGCTGCTGTCCACCCACAGCAAACAAAGTATTATGCCGCATCATCTTGGAGAGACTGAAGGATGCGTTGGATTCAAAAATACTACCCGAACAGGCCGGATTCAGGAAGTACAAATCAAGTGCGGATCAAATTGCAACGGTACGCTGTGCATCATCATAGAACAGAGCATGGAATGGCAGTCAACTCTCTACCTGTGCCCCAACTTCATCAACTTTACAAAAGCCTTTGACAGCGTCGACCGGGGAGTAATTTGGCAGTTGCTTCAACATTACGGAATACCACAAGCCCTTATCAACCTCATTCAACAACTATATGGAGACGCCATATGCCAAGTAATTCACAATGGGAAGCCCAGTGATGCCTTTGAAGTTAAGCCAGCGTAAGATAAGGCTGCTTACTATCGCCTATGATCATCCTGACTGTGATGGACTGGATAATGCGGCAAAACAGTGAGGAGCGAGAAGAGGGAGACACGCTGCTAGACAGGGGAAAAGATCCTATAAGATTTGGATTTCACCGATGGCTTGTGTCTAATGTCACATAAAGTTGAAGACCCACAGGTGAAAACTAACAAGTTGACAGAAGAGACGGAGAAGCGAAGGAAGACGGGACTTCAAGTGTATGTGGAGAAAACGGAGGTGATGAAGATCCCCAATAATACCAACAACAACAACAAGCTCCAATCAGCAACAACCGGAGAAGCTTAAGGGAAGTAGCCTTTCGCACCTATCTAGGCAGCATTGTTTCAACTACAGGTGGCGGCACAGATGAGAACGTCAAAGCCAGCCAAGATCGGAAAGACAGCAAGACAGGTGTTCATTAACTTGAAACCAGTGTGGAGATCTGCACCCAGCCCAAAGAAGAAGATCCAGATTTTCAACAGTAATATCAGTTAAGTAATTGCTTCTATGTGACGGTTGAGAGACTTGGCGCTTTACGAAAAGTATTTTCAACAAGCTACGGATATTCATCAACAACTGTCTACGCTGGTTCCTTGCTGAAGATCAGATGTCCAGAAAGAATAAGCCACAAGGGACGCTAGCAACGAACCAATCAAGAAGCCATCGCTCAACAAATATGCAGAAGGAAGTGGAGATAGATTGGGCTTGCATCGAGAAGACCATTCGGGGACATACGCGCCAGGCCAGGCACTCGAGTGGAACCCAGATGGGAAACGATGAGTTAGGCGTCTTAGGCTAGAATGACATGGAGGAGATGGTATGAGGAAGAAATGAGAGCGTTCGGGCTGTCTAGGAGTCAGGTTCAAAAGATTGCAGAGAACAGGGTGCACTGGAGACGTGCTACTGAAGCCCCATTTTCGACTAGGAACCCAAGCGACAAATGATTAATAATAATAAGTTGCAATACGAACTATACCAAAGAAATCTACTGCTCTCACGCCATTCCAACTATGTTGCCTCTACATCGGTTTTGCTTCTACCATAATCTTTTGGGCCTTTTTTTATCCCTTTTACCCACTTAAGTTCGTCACATCTTTCGACCCCAGTCCGCTTATTCAGGTGTAAGTAGATCAATCTGCTTACTAATTACTCCATTAGTTCACCTTTCTTTATCTTTCAGTGACATACATTGTCTTTCTAGGCTTTCTCCTCATTAGCTCTCACTCTATCTAGCCGCCAGCTCGAACAACTGTCTGGCAACTGGACGTCTGAAGAACCCGACTGCATCATAGTCAAAGTCAAAGTAATCAACACTTAACCTTCTGTTCTGTATACCAAGAGCTATGGGAGACGGTTGACTAAATGTACTGCATCGGAATACACCAGAGACCTGGAACCGTTCAGAAAGGCTGAGAAGCAAGCAAGAAGAAATCAACTGATTTGCGCAAGCTCGGTAAAGATATTGGACATTGGACTTTTTGAGCCATTATTGAAGTGGGGATTCAGTTACCACATTACAATGTCTACGGAATCACAGCTTGAAACTGATTATATGACACTAACTCGCTTCATTATAAAAGAACAAAGAAAATGTCCAAATGCTACTGGTGAGCTTACACAGCTTATGAATGGCCTTCAAACAGCCATTAAGGCGGTTTCAAATGCTGTCCGTAAAGCAGGTATGATACACCTGTAAGTTTTTTCATGTTCATAGAAATTATGATCGTATTAGTTTATGGTTTTGTTTATCAAGTGGCAAGTTTCAGCTTGTGTCTCATTTTGAGCTACTACTTAGCATTCTATAATTTAAGGAAGATAGTGGGGGACTTCTCTGCTTAAGCGGAGATGCATACTTATATATCGCATTTTTATGCATGTGAATGCATATATATATATATGCATATCATTCACCCGTAAAATTCTGCGTCTTATTCCAACTCCCGAAAAAATTCCATGGATGATTCATTCTTATAGTAGCATTCGCTTTCAAGACCTTGACGTATGTGGAGACGGCATAAAATAGTGTAAACCACTTCAACTATAAGCAATATTTCCTTTTCATCGTTTCTTTTACACATTCCGTACATTCTTCCTAATACTTGTAAAAACGAATGTTGTTTATGCATACACTTTTTTGGTTGTGGCGGTAATTGCATTTTTTGCTGCTGCTAATCGTGGAAATATAATGTACTTCTAACCATTCCGACTTCTGCCTCCGTGACTATTGCCTTTCGCGCATACTAACTGATTGTCTTGGGATTTTACGGGACTTCCCATCCTACTTCCAAATATTACGACAATCCAACGTCCAAGTTTGAAGCGTTGGCAGCTAAGGTGTCGAATATTGAAGTTCGTCGCCCACGGTCCATACCTCGTAAACGCTCAAGCGACAGGCATCGATCTCGCTCACCTAAAGCCGCACAAGAGATCTGCTGGTAACACAGAAAGTTTGGCCACAAAGCCAATCGGTGTACTAGACCCTGCACTTTTGATAAAAGATCATCGTTAGACCAGGGAAACTGGTCAGCCGGACAGTGAGAGCGACAGCTGTTACTGGCTACCATTCCAGTCGTCTCTTCTACACGACGGATAAAACTTCAGGCTCCTGGTTTTTAGTTGACACAGGTGCCGAAGTTAGTGTTATTCCTCTCTCGCTTTCACGGCGACCATCAACAACCCCACCAGTAACAGCTGTCGCTCTCACTGTCCGGCTGACCAGTTTCCCTGGTCTAACGATGATCTTTTATCAAAAGTGCAGGGTCTAGTACACCGATTGGCTTTGTGGCCAAACTTTCTGTGTTACCAGCAGATCTCTTGTGCGGCTTTAGGTGAGCGAGATCGATGCCTGTCGCTTGAGCGTTTACGAGGTATGGACCGTGGGCGACGAACTTCAATATTCGACACCTTAGCTGCCAACGCTTCAAACTTGGACGTTGGATTGTCGTAATATTTGGAAGTAGGATGGGAAGTCCCGTAAAATCCCAAGACAATCAGTTAGTATGCGCGAAAGGCAATAGTCACGGAGGCAGAAGTCGGAATGGTTAGAAGTACATTATATTTCCACGATTAGCAGCAGCAAAAAATGCAATTACCGCCACAACCAAAAAAGTGTATGCATAAACAACATTCGTTTTTACAAGTATTAGGAAGAATGTACGGAATGTGTAAAAGAAACGATGAAAAGGAAATATTGCTTATAGTTGAAGTGGTTTACACACTATTTTATGCCGTCTCCACACGTAGAGTTCAGAAACTGTTTCCTCTACTCTCTAGTCATATCACTTTAAAGAACAGTCGGGAAAATCCAGGGAAGGTTGGGAATTCTTGAGAAAGTATGCATCGTGCAACTGATATTGGGATACTTGTTTGGATTAACCATTCAATACTGTGAAACAGTGAAGTAGTAGGATATGTGAAATTGTCAGTTTTAAAGTCTTCTGCAGATGCAGCACTGTCGTCTACCTTGATTCACTTTTCCAAGCTAATTACTTCACAATATTGTATATCGCTACCTAAAATAAAAATAACATTTGCTTTATAGTGACTTTGACCCACCTGGTATGAATGGAGTCGAAATATCATTTTTGGGGTCCAGCAATACATTTGATAGTAGGCTTTGATTATCTGCTACTGATCATATCCTGATCCAGCACATCTCTTGTGGTACGCGTTTCGGTTTCAGCCCCGGATCTTCTTTATCAGACCTAGTGATAGTACATAAGGTGGATGATATTTTCAACCTTTGCTAGCGAACAGTAGCGATGCAGTTCTTCTATTTGGGCTCAGTCCTCGCTCTTATCTATGTTCAGCCTATCTGAATTTATAGCGTGCTGTCTATACAGCGTTCAGTTAATGCCGACTCATCTGTTGACAATAAATAGCTCAAGTTTATCGGAACACGCTTGAGGCAGTTACATTTGATTTCATCTTGTGGACGATTCCTCATGAACCAACTTATTGTTTCTTGTGGGTTGGTAGATAGGTTAAAAAACCTGGTTCTGTATAGTTTGATCTGAAGTATTTAGAAACTAGAAATCATCAAAATATCAAGTAAAATACATGAAATAAGACAGGTTAGCCACCTAGAGAGCTGGCCCAAACGACCTTCCTCTTATATTATGATAGCAGAAAGAGTTAATAATATCTTAACTCGTTCTTCCTGAAGTTCATATCAAGCAAAGCTTAAGTATAGGTTTATTGAGTAGTCGTATACAAAGTTCAGTACCAGCCAAGCATTTGATGATAATTATTGCTTGAATTTTTTATCATGATGTTTTCCATGTCAAATGTTTGAAAGATAACAGACTAATCGCAAGATTTAATAAATTGAATATGTTCAGAAAGACAGAACAAAATAATTTAGCGAAGGATTTCATCTTCAACAATTTGGTTCCTTCACTCGTTTAAACTAGAGGAAGAATGAATGGGTTTTCAGAATACGATGAATTCAATGCATTTCGTTGCGTTCTGCTCAGTTAAGTATAACTTAACGAACTTAATATTTCTAAAAATGTTCAAACAAGGACTGAGCAGTGAAAAGGTGGTCAGGAAGGATAGTTAGGAAATGTGTTGGTGCTGTAAGACGTAATAGTTATATTTCATTTTTGAAGCGTTACAAACACCTTTAAGCAGTAAATTTTTAATTATGGAAACAGGGTTTATGTAAAAAATTGTTGTTACACTGACTAACAGTTATAAAAGTGATGCCTCGACTTTAAGCACTAGAGTCAAATTGTATAATATATGGAACAGGCTTCACTACCACCCAGTCACTTCTGAAAGGCGTGCCGAGTTAGTACATCGCCTTATTCAAGACTCTCTGCTCGAATACTTGGCGTGTTAGAGCCTATAGTGAGATGTCCAGGGAGCTATATTCATCGAGTGGTGTTCGTCAAGGACGCCCACTGTCTTCATTCCTATTCAATTTTATCATAGATATTCTTATAGAGGTCTCCTTCTCGTCAGCAGGTTACACAAACGTTGACCTAATCACAGGAGAATTTCCGTTAAACCTAGAGTATGCAGATGAAAGTTCTGCTAGGTGAAGACTCTGACAATATGTAGAGTCTTCTGAACAGTGAGTGTCAATTTGAGAATGTTTCAGATGCGTTTCTCACCACCCAAATTCAAATTTTTGCTCCAAGATTGGTCTTCAGTGGTGCCACGGCTAACAGTAGAGAGTGTAGAGGTTGAGGGTGTCGACCACTTTAATTACCTGGGAAGTAGGATCAGCCCTAGTAAGTTAGTTGCCGAAGAAATCTCGGCACGGATACAAACGGCTCGGCTGGCTGTTGCCAACTTACGCCACCTATGGCGCCGCCATGATATCCGATTGTCTATTAAGGGTCGCGTGTACTTCTACTGTATGGGTGTGAAACGTGGCCACTGAATGTGGAAGACATGAAAAGGCTTCAGGTGTTTGTCACCGTTGCCCTCGTAGTTTAAAGCAGTATTCCGCGGTGTCACCACACCACATGAGTAACGCAGAAGTCAGGTGTAGAGTTTTAGGGAGCAGAGGTAAATCAGTTGACGAGGTTATGAACCTTCGTTGACTGAAATGGCTGGGACACGTACTACATATGCCTAGTCACCGATTGCCTCGTCACACAATGTTGGCCGAAGTAGGTCTAGGCTGGAAAAGGGCCCGAGGTGACCAGACTAAAACATAGCACCAATGTATGAAGTCTCTGACTGCTGGTTTGAGCCATGTGGGGCGATGCAGACTAGGTGGTTGTGGTCCGCGGGGCAAGGGGAACCAGTGACTGGGGCTCTAGGTGACCACATGGTGCAGATGTATACATACATCATCATTTTAACGACGCTATACCAAATCTCACCATTTTGTCATTCCTCCTTTCTTTCTTCTCGTACCTTATATTTCTTTCGACTGCATTCTCTTATCTTCATCTTTCACCTTACTACCTTTCTACTTGATGCACTGATATGAGCTGTGTCAACTTGGACCGTTACGCAGTAATGCCTGGTCCTATGTTGATATTGATGATGATGAGTCATTTCCATAACCATGGTAGCCATGAATAACATTATTCTAATGAAAAGATGCTTAAGTCAAAGTTTATGGGATATATATTCATGAAGAGTTGTGAGCAGAACATGATAGTAATTAAATATATTTAAGTTTGACGTACGATTCTGTCAATAAATAATATTAGTTGATTTTGTCATTTGACAGCGGAGGCGAAAGACATTTAACGAAAAGGTTTCCATATGCGTAGTTCTGGCCCAAGTAATGTACGCCGAGTGTGGATGTAGATCTCTAGGAAATTTTCATTAAACTCACTTCGAAATAGGCTTTGTAGGTTAAAAGATCCTATTGACCCAATTAGGTAGAATAACTTAGGCTATTGGAACACAAAAACTTAGCAAGATCAAAATTGGTAGATCCTAGTAAGGTGGGGAGTTTAGAAAAAAGCTCAGAGATAGCTATGCATGCGATTACACACAACCACACATGAGGATGGGACAGGGTGAAAATTCTCAAAACTAACATAACAGGCTGGAGGGAGTAATTGATAACTGAATCTTTGTTTATCGAATCTAACACATGCAACAACAGGAATGACTGGGCACCTGCTCGGGATATATGAAAAATCTTACTGCCCATCTCACAGAGACGAGAAAATTAGGACTATATAAAGTATATCTCAAAGTTGTGTAGTTATCTTGAAATGACGACTATGGACAACAAATTATGTCCGAAACGTAATCCAGTAAACAATACTGTTACATTGTGTGATAAATCTAATAAATCAATAAAAATGGAGTTACATTCTACCACAGTGCACAATTTTTACTCTTATATTAACCAATACTCCTCACCTGCATGCACTTTAAAAGTACAATGGTTATTAGCAGGACATGAGATATTTCAGAATTAGAAAATCAATCATTACTGATAATCAATCAACATAACGTGTAAGCGAATTACTAATTGTAACGAGGTGAGAACTGTAAGAAAGAATAATAATAATTAATAGATAAAGAGTTATGTCATTGAAGTGAGTGAGAGACTAACCACACTCCCTTTCTGTATACAGAGGTTAGGTTGAAAGCGTCTCATAGCAATCGCTTCGATGAAGCGCAGTAATCCAGATATTCTTTGTAAGTTGGTATTCATCATACAATGACATCAGTTGGGGAAATATTGGAAACCTGGGAGCACTGGACAGGTGTTCCATCCTAGTATTGGACTCTTCAGCAGTGCGCACCCACGGCCCCTCCAGAGATCGAACTGGCGACTTTCAGGTTCCATGGCCAACGCGTTACCACTGGGCCACTGAGTCAGAATCTAATGGTTCAGTTTCCTACTTCTGTCAGTTCACGACATAGCATGACCGCCACCCAATGTCATCCTTGAGTATTTGTCCTCACGGCCACCAGGTTTGCCGCACTGGTCACGACTTTTCATTGGAACCTCGGGAATCACCTCTCGAAGCTATTCACCAATCAGCACTAGTCCATGGTGGATACCAACTTGAAGAGGAAATCTCTGAATCCCCCACAAACCCCGAATTCAGTTGGACTAGTGCTAATTGGCGAATAGCTTCGAGAGGTGATTCCCGAAGTTCCAATGGGAAGCCGTGACCAGTGGGGCAAACCTAGTGGCCGTGAGGACAAATACTTAATGACGACATTGGGTGATAGTTGCGCTATGTCGTGAACTGACAGAAGTAGGAAATTGAACTATTGGATTCCAAGCCAGTAGCTCAATGGTAACGTACTGTCCACGGAACCTGAAGGTACTGGGTTGAATCCCTGGAGCGGTGGGGTCATGGATACGCATTGCTGAAGAGTCCCATTCTAGGACGGAACAGCTATCCAGTGCTCCGAGGTTTCCAATGTCCCTGCAACTGATGTCAGTTCATGATGAATGCCAACTTGAAGAAAAAAATCTCTAAATCCCCACAAACACCCGAATTCATTCTCTGTAAGCCTATTATTGTAAAGACATCCGAGGTTTCAACTGAATGTCCTGTGTCTATGGGGTACTATGGAAAAGATGCAGTAGCTAAGAGGATAGACACAAAAATCAAAGGACCACTAAAAAGGAGTTTTCCTGCAGCTAAACGTATATCCGTATAGAATATCATATTCTCGATAAACCAATCAGAATTGGATAATTGCTTATCTCACCTTCAACTGTATTTATCTATTCACATGCACTTGTAGTAGCATGTACGTTGAAACAACTGAGAGGAAGGCATCCATTGGGTTCCCTTAGCATGTCTCCGAGAACCTTTGCTTGAAAGGAAAAGAAATTCTAACCAGTGCAATCACACCAGACACCTGGTAGACTCAGGATGTCAGATTCAAACCTCGAGTGTTTTTAAAAAAAATGTCTGGATTACTGCACTTCACGCTCTCAACCTAGTCTTGGCATACAGAAGGAGAGTGTGGTTAATCTCTCACTCCTTTGTTGAGTATGATTTGATTCTGTTTTATTTTTATTTTCATCACACAACTCTTTATTCATTGATTACTATTATTATTGTTATTCCTTTCTTACATTTCTTACCTCTTCACATGTTATGTGGATTGGTTATCAATGATTTTGTTGTACAACTTAAGATGATTGACTTCCTACTTTCGAAATATTTTGCTGCTAATAATCTAATCATTGTACTTTTAGAGTGTATGCAGCTGAGGAGTATTGGTGAAATTAAATGATGATATCATCTTTTGTTCCTTCTTACTTGATCCAAAAATATTCATCATTGTATGTATAAGAATTGTACTCATGTATACGGAAATTATCCCATACTTATCTTTTATGTTAATGTATGTCAATATTTTGGAAGTCTTGTATGAAAGAGAGTATTAGTAGTAAGCTATAAATGTATATATACCTTCCATTCATATTTCATTTATCAAGTTATGGTTTAACTGGTGCCAGTAATGTTCAAGGGGAAGAAGTGAAGAAATTAGATGTTCTGTCGAATGAATTATTTATCAACATGCTAAAATCCTCCTATTCCACATGTCTGCTTATCTCTGAAGAAAATGATGAAGCTATAGAAGTGGAGTTAGAAAGACAGGTCAGTTAACGTTTAGGTAGGTATGATATGTAGCATGTATGTGTGTGTATATATCTATATAGTTGGTCCGGAGTTTATGACTCTTTCCTACTGATTTCACTTTGAATCAAACGCATCTAGGCTAGAATCTTTATGATCATAGTGTTGAATGAAGTAGGTTTGGATTTCACGCGGATTTATCAGCTTCGTAGAGATTGTGAATTAGTATCGATGATTAAGAAATCTGTTTGCTGAAAACCTTCTGTTCGATTTTCTTAGAATGGTAAACACTCTTCTTCATTTAACCTTTTTGTTTATATCAAGCGATGTGTTAGGCATCTGTCATGCAAATATCTGCTGGGAAAAGCATAATCAACTACTCATAATGTTTGTAAAAGAGTTACTTGTGTGATACAGAAGCGGTTACAAGGTTTCGATCATGGGCGTCTTTGTATCATTGCTTGTGTTTAGTGGAATCACCATGTGAGCAATATTGAGGTCAACCGAAGGGTACTACGCAAGATAGGCAAGTTGACTGATGAGGTTGCGAACTTTAGTCGACTGAGATGGCTTGGACATATACTGCACATTCCGAATCACCGCCTATCTCAAAGTGCCATGCTAAGGGAAGTTGGATTAAGTTAGAAGATGGTTCAGGATGAATAGAACTAGACCTGACACCAGTTGAAGTCTCTTACTGTTGATCTGAGCTGCTTGGTTGGTGTCCACGAGACGAAAAGAATCAGTAGTTGAGTAGTCTTGGTGACATGTCTGAAAGTCGTCACAATGGTGTAGATGTCTTCACTCTTTGACATCTACAGCTTGAATGTTCACACTAACCGTCATCTTGAGGTAGTTCATTCTCTCGTATGCCTTTGTCTACTTTGATATCACTCTTTTTCTATCCAGCTGTTCTTTGTATATTACTGTGATGTGGCAACTTGAGCCGATGCACTTGTGTGCGAGGTTCTACGTTGATTTTGTCTGTCTGTCTGTAATATTACTTGTGTACATGAGAACTAACCAAATTTAGTTACAGTTATTATATATATATATATATATATATATATATATATATATATATATATATATATATGATTTTATGCATAAGGTTCATTGTGAATAACTTGGAAATAATATTTGTCGAACTATAAAGTTCAGTGGTATAAATACTAAATTCTTAGTTAATGGGTCATAGGCTGAAATTCCACTTCACCATCTTCGGTATATAGTCTGCGTAATATTGTCAACTGTATCCCACAGTGAGTATAGATTAGGCAAACGTACGATAGGCAAACAGACATTAAGAGAAAGAGGAAAAAAGACGGAATAGTAACATTGCCAAATTTCGAATCTGCAGTTATCTGTCTCACTGGGATTGGTTTTAAGTAATAGCACTGGACATTCAGATATTATCATTTTGACTATCTGAGATAGCCGTGGTTTGGCAGACTGGTATTGATACTGGGTAATGATTGGTCTCAGGTATTCGAAATGATAATCAATATGATGTTTCCCGTCTCCAATTCAGTTAGATTTGGATTTGGATGAGAAGTTCTAACTAGGCAGCCAGTGTGAATACGATCAAGCGGTAGTAACGCGTCACGAATTCACATGGTAGTGACTGCAGTGAAATAAAAAAGTGTGGTCAGCAGTCGGACCTCAAAGCTCAGTTGGTAGGGCATCGGGTTGGAAGTCCGGTGCTCTCTAGTTCGAATCCAACTGCGGTACAAATCTTTCTTTTCACCTTCAGTCACCCAGTATTATTCAGATATTGTCGGAAGCAACCTATTGTTGTTCAGATGGCTTAAAGAAGACCACTAGTTGGTACTATTCCAATTCTCTTGATTCATGGCATAGTCCGAAACCATCCTTTATCAACATTCACATACTCTCAACAAGTTATGACTTTTCACTGCCAGATTCACGAATTCTCCAACTCTACAGAGCTATTCAGCAAGCCTACAATACATCTTGCTCTGTGATGTATAAACTCATTAGTTTATCGCAGATGAAAGAAACTGAACAGTTATTCGCAGATAACAAGTCTTAAAAACCTGTAAAAATTACGTCATATTTTGTCATAGATTGCTTGATTAGCAGTAAAGATTGTTCATTTTCAGTCTGTAGATAAATCAAACTACCAGTCAAACAGTGCAATTATTGAATTTTAAGGGTATTAAACATTGTCAGTCTGACGATCTGAGATAGCTCAATTGGTAGAGCACCGGAGTGGAAACGCGGCGGTCCTCTGGTTCGAGTCCTCCCGTATCCCAATACTAACTTGATTGATTGTTAAACATAACAAAACACTGGTCCGAATTCCACTGACTTGATATAAACTTTCTTCCAACTGAAATTACGAAACTGATATCTTCGAATCTCATCGAGAAAACTACTCACTGTGTTCCAGGTACACCCAGCTGACGAGTCCCGAATACGACGAAATCCGCCTCCTGGATTCTACCGCTGGCCACCACCAACGCAAAGTTGCATGTATCAATAAATAACAGTTAAAATTGTTCCAGGTAGCATAAATTATTGGGACGTAATTTCTTACCCGATTGGATTTTCTCTGCTTATGATTTCACAAAGGTATATTTTTCCTTCCAGGGGAAGTATATTGTTTGTTTTGATCCATTGGATGGTTCATCGAATATTGACTGTTTGGGTTCAATTGGTTCAATATTCCTCATACTACGTTCTCCATCACAACATGAGAAAGATAGGACATTATTAAAAATGGCATTACAACCGGGTCGTCAAACGGTTGCTGCAGGTTATGCACTATATGGTAGTGCTACAATGTTAGTTTTAAGCCTTGGGACTGGTGTGCATGGTTTTACATTGGATCCAGTAAGTAAAAGTTATTGATGCTATTATCCTTATTGTTACTCTCCTTTTTTCGTGTTACATTTACGAGACACTTTGACAACTATGAATTGGTGGTCAGACGGCAATTATATAGCACAATAGTCTTAAATTGTCTTTAAATCTTACCGATCAAAATAGGAGTAAAACTTGGGCACTGTGATCGATTGTAATTCCCTTTCAGTATGTTTATTAGAAATATCACACAGTGAAGGAATAGTATCATTTATTGGGTAACGTTTCGAACACTATTGTCCATTTTCATATCAGGTAACTGACTCCACAACTTGGAGACAGAGTTCATGTATCTCTATCACCATTATTACCATTAGTTGGGAGAGAATTCAAAGCATCTGCTGTGTTACCTACCATACAAAGAAGGCACTTCAAAAGCATTACGAAGAATTCTCAATAAGGCTAGCTGGGATTAAAGTGTCATTCAAACCAACAAATTCGCTTAGAAACAAGCTTTGTAGGTTAAGAGATCCTATCGATACAATTAAGCAAAATAATCTGGTTTACCAAATCCCCCTTACAATGATTTCGAGGTCAAATGCATAGGTCAAAGTAATCGATTAGGGTCATTTAGAATAACAGCACAAAAACTTAACTAAATTAAGATTAGTAGATCTTAATAAGATCAGTCATAAATATAAAACTTGTGCACTGTGGTAGAATGTAATTCCATTTTTATTATTATTGTTTACTGGATTACTTTTCGGACGTAATTACTGTTACACTGTGTGATAAATCTAATGAATCAATAAAAATGGAAGATAAGTCATAAGTTACAGAAAAGCTCGGCTATACCGCTGCACGCAATTACACACAATCACACAGTAGGGTGGGATAGGGCGATAGTGTTGAAAACTAACTTAGTTGGGTGGAGTGAGGGAGAGATTGATAACCGAATCATCATCGTCGTCTATGGAATCAACATCAAATACATGCAGTGATAGGAATGATTCTGCACCTGTTCCAGATATATATATATATATATATATATATATATATATATATATATATATATATATATATATATATATATATATGGAAAATTCTACTACCCTTGTCATCACAGAGAAGGAGAGAAAATTAGAAATATGTAGACTGTCTCGAAGTTGTGAAGTTACCTGATATGAATATGGAGAATAAATTGTATCCGAAATGTTGTTATCCAGTAAACGATACTGTTTCACTGTGTGATATTTCTAATACGCAGACTAAAATGGAATTCCACCGATCAAGTGTATAACTTGATCATCAAGCTAACTCACTCAATGGTCCGGATATTATTGGGTGGCGGTCCAAGTTGCCACACCTCATATAAGAGCATTAAACGAGAAAGCACTAAGGTGAAAGATAAAGAAATGTGGAAGAAAGCAATAAAAAGTGACAAAAAGTCGTGGTAAGATAAGGAAGGATAAGAAAATACTGAGTTTAGTATGACGATTAACATGAGGATAATGTAGGTGGATTCGTTTGAGCCAGTGAAATCGATTTTAAGCCGTTACGCCCAAGAGTCTACATGTACCGATTCCGGGTTGTCATGCGAAACCCGACCAGAAAGTCTACATCTTCGTACACAGCTCAGACCAACAGTCAGAGACTAGGTGCTGATGCCATGTTTTAGTCTGACCGCCTCTAGTCCTTTCCTCGCCTATATGTATTGTCCAACGAGGCAGATGGTGGCTAGGCGTGAGCAACGCGTGTCTCAGCCAGTTGAGTTGATAAAGGTTCACAACCTCATCAACTGACTTTCCTCTTCTCCCTATAAATCTAGACTTTTACATTACTGACGTAGTAACGCTACGGTACACGGCCTATTGTACGAAGGCAACGGTGGTTAAACACCTGAAGGTTTCTCATATTCTCTATCCTTAATAACCACGTTTCACAACTACATAATATAGTGGAATAGAGCTTACTGCATCGCAGTACATTCGACCCCTAATAGGTAATCGGATATCATAGCGGTGCTACAAATGGTGTAAGCTGGAGAAACTCGAGTGAGCCTTTTTTTCTTCGTACAGAGGTTTTGTCGGTGACTGACCGATTAGGTCTGATCCGACCTTCCAGGTGAGTGAAGTGATCAACGCACTCAACCATTTCACTCCCCTATTGTTATCTGGGGCACGGGTGAAGACCAGTTGTGATGTGAAGCAACAATTGTCATTTGGTTGGGATTGATAAATATATCCCACATATTCACCAATTATGAGTCCAGATGCCCATGAGACTGGATCTTGTGAAGGTTTTCGCCCAACAGGACTATGTCATTTGTGTAGTGTACACCTACCAAGAAGTTTCATGTGACAAGATGAATCCCTGTTAATTGAGGTGCACTCTTACACTTCTATCATCATTCACATAATAACTTGAACTCACTGAATGTTGGACTATTTCTTCACCCCTCACTGGTGAATACAGACAAAGGCGGTTTCTCATCTACAAAGCATACTGTGCACTTTGATATTGGTAGGCTGGTATAACATTCTTGGAGACTGTTTTGTGGCTCATTGGTTTAGGAAGTCGACTTTCAATCAGTGAGTCACGCTTTCGAACACTGCTCCAGGCATCATTAACCCTCACACAACAGGTGTGTCTGATAGCTTACTGAACAAACATCCAAGAAATTGCTGAGTGGATTTCGATTTCGATACTGTGTACTAACTGATTCTCCGCGATTTTTGTTGCCTTTATGTTACTGTTCAGTACGACGATATCATTTGTTTACTCAAGGTTGAAAAATGTTCCTTTGGGTAACGGATCTGCATCACCACCATACTTCACTGAAAACTCTCTCAGGATTATGGTTAATAGCCAAAGTTTAAGCGGAAAACCCTGGCCGACTATACTATCAGCTCCAACTAATTGGCTTAAGTAGTTACCTGCTTTATATGTTCAGTATGATAATACTGAACTTTCGATAGACTTTATTACCCCTCCATTTAATCGAGCTGAACGATGTTCAAGAAAGTGACAGTAGGTTCATAGGATTGTTCTATACATTGGTTGGTCACAGAAGAGCAACGAATCTCATTTTGTCTTGTCCCTGAGTGCAAACCGAATTCTATCGATTCTATTTGCAATGTGACCATTAAACTAGGAGACTCAGTATGGCGGTGCACATTGGTGTAGATGTTGGTTGGTTGAAGGCAATCATCAGGAAGCCATGGACCTAGGTTTCGTGCTTGTTGTCACTTGTCAGCGGAACTGATGTGCCTGAGGTTCGAAGCCACGTCACCCAGTGTTTTAGTCAGCGTCGTTACCACTAAGCTATCCGAACCGTGACTTACCTCCTGTAGGATTGGGTTGCATACATTGATTAGTCACGGGAGAGCAACCACTTTCTGCTGATTGAACTGTGTTCACAAGACCAGTTAAACTTACGTGTACACACAAATTTTCTAGTATTCAATGATATCTATTTTAAGTTGGTTAATGACTGAAGGTGAAGTGAAAATCTAGACCGCGGCCGGATTCGAACCAGCGACCAGGGTTTCCGGCCCGATGCTCTACCAACTGAGCCGCGAGGTCCGACTGTTGACCAGATTTTTATTTCACTTCAATCACCATGGGTTAGGGGCAAAACTATCGTAGCTCAGTTGGTAGAGCATCGGGCTGGAAACCCTGGCAGCTGGTTCGAATCCGGCCGCGGTCTAAATTTTCATTTCACCTTTAATCATCATCCAGTATAAACACTAGTCTGCCAAACCACGGCTATCTCAGGTAGTCAATATGATAGTCTATTTTAAAACAAAATTGGTTGGTTTCAGTTATTCCTTTTTAAAATTTGTTGTCATTGTTTGCTATTGCAGTCTAAATACGCTGCGACACTATGACTGAATGCGGAAACTACTTGAACTTATCGTTCGATGTCAGTAGAGAATTTGGTGATTGTTATATTAATTCAGGTCAGGTGTCTATACTAAAAATTTATTCAAGTGAACGTGTGTAAACCCGTTTGATAGATAAATTTTGTTCAAAGTTAACTAAACATTTTTCGATAGTTAAACTTTGTTAGTTAATTGTATATTCTAATATTTTGTTAGTCACACAACAAGTTTGCGTTTACATATGGCTTTTAATCTGCTAATTGGTTACGGTAAGTTTCTCATAAAAGCTATGCTGAGGATAATTTTTTAAAGTGTACATTCGTTATCTGTCGAAGATTTAGTGAAGCTGTGTCTCTCATTGTATGAAACAAGCAGACGTTTTGCTGATGGACTGCAAAACTTTGCTCTATCTGAAGAGGTGCAGTCAAGTATGCAGTACTGTCCGTTATCAAACAAGTGCCAGCAAACACTAACCCTAGGTCGAGGGCTTCCTGCTTGTTACCTCCAACCAACCCTTCAAAGTACACCGCGATGGTGAACTTCCTAGTTTGGTGACCACATTGAAAAATGATCGATAGAATTCAGTCAGGGCTCAGGAATAAACAACATAAAATGGGTTGCTCTCCAGTGGCCAATTAGTTCACAGTCTAATACACGAATCTACACTTTGTTCCCGGATTGTTTAGTTAGCTCAAAATTTATTGAACTGGACAACAAACTTGCTTTCTTATTACTCCTCTCGCGTAATCATAAGTGAATCCTAGTGCTATTTCTGTGTAATCACTTTACCATACTTTAATTGGTGAGTAGCTTCGAAAGGTGATTTCTGAAGTTCCAATGAGAAGTCGTGACCGGTGAGGCGAGCCTGGTAGCCTTGAGGACAAATACTCAGTGATGACATTCGGTGATGGTCGCGCTGTCATGAACTAACAGAAGTTGGAAATATGGACTATTGGATTCCGACCCAGTGGCTCAATGGTAACATGCTGCTCATGAAACCTGAAGGTGCTGGGTTAGATCTCTGGAGCAGTGGGGTCATGGGTGCGCAATGCTGAGCATTTAGAGCACTACTCCACCTACCGAGGTTTAAACAGCCAGGTAGTATCATTAGCCCACAACACAATAGGTGTGGCTGACTACACGAATGTACACTAGGTTTTGATTCGAACTACTTGGCATAATTTCTTGATAGACTACCTTCTCTGAAACTATACATCAGTTGCTAACTGATCAAGTTTCGAAAATGTGAACAAAGTTTAAAAGCTACAAATTGATGAGCATATACACTTCTACTAGGTTTATGTACTGTGTGTATACTGTAGACGAACTGATAACCAGTTTAGCTGTCAAGTGCTCCTTTTTTTGCTGAATAAGTCTTATCTACCAACTATAAACGATATAGCATGGTAAGTTTGATGTTATTGACTAATATCTTGCACTTTCTGGTAGTCACCAACCAAAACTGTGATATATATATATATATATATATATATATATATATATATATATATATATATATATATATATATATATATATCCTGTCGATTATTCTAACCTACCTAGTTGTATTGAAACCAGAATTTGTTTATTTATCGGTGATGCTTGCTGATGAGCGAATGATAAAGGGTCTACTAGAAAGTTTATCGGTTTATCGTATGTTATGGGATCCTGATTACTACCTGACTAACCACACTTTTGGTTTTGGAAGTAAACTGATATAGGATTTCTCAGTGGTACAGTGATGTCATTCTCTCCTTAGATTATGAGTTTATCAATCACTTTTGATGATTTAGAACCACTCAGATCCATTTTCTTTACTAAATAGTAGTTGGGAGTGGAACACTTTATGTACATTTTAGGCTATTTGAAATTCATCGGCTTGGAATGTTGGTGTTATAGTTCCCATTGACGGCCCATTTTAGACTGACTTCAGACTGCTATTGTTTTTGATATCATTATTATAAACACAACGATGGATAACAAAACATTTTTTTTTAGACATTTTAGTTCACTCTATACCACAGTTACCATTTTTACTCACCTTATTTCAATTTTTGTAGGCAATTGGTGAATTTATACTTACACATCCTAATATTCGTGTAAAACCACGTGGGAATATCTATTCAATCAATGAAGGTTATGCTAGTCTTTGGGACAATGCGATTACAGAATACATCAAAAGGAAAAAATTCCCTCAAGTAAGTTATTTGAATAAATGGCGGCATTCACTATTACTTCTTCATTGTACATGTGTATCCTGTGAGCAGTCTAGACGTTTTGACCACCTACGAATTTCTAATAGTCTCACAGAACTTTAATAATTGACCACCGACATTTTCATCAGTCTTTTCTTCTTTATCCGAATTATTGTCTTCCTTTGGGCATTTACCAACTTGCGTCATCTATGACTTTCGATAGCGAGATATCCGGCTATCTATCAAAGGACTATTATGCTGCTCTGCAGTTCGTTCTGTCCTGTTATACACTGTGAGATATGTCCATTGAAAGCAAAAAGCATTAAGCGGTTACAGAGGTGTCTTCGTAGCATTGCTCGTGTTTGGTGGAGTCACTGAAAGCAATGTTGAGGTCAATCAGGCAAAGGAGTACTAGGCAAGTTGATTGATGAGGTTGTGAATCTAAGTCGATTAGTATGGCTTGGACATGTGTTGCGCATGTCGAGTCACCGCCTATCTCGACGTGCTATGTTAGGGGAGGCTGGATTAAATTAGAAGAGGGTTCAGGATGAACAGAACAAGACGTGGCATCAGTTCATGAAATCCCTGACTGTTGATCTGAGCCGTGTAGGAAGTCGTTGAATACCTGGGTCCTTTGGATGTAAGGAATCAGTGATTGAGAACTCTTGATGACATTGCTGGGAATCAGTTACAATAATGCAGATGTATTCACTTCTTGACGTCTTCTAAAACTGAAATATTTACACTAACCGTTATCTTAACAAAACTGTCTACTTTCATATCACTCCTTTTCTGTCCCCCTGTTATTTGTGTACTACTGGGAAGTGTGGTAACTTGAGCCGATGCACTTGTATACGAGGTTCTACGTTGATTTCGTCTGTCTGCCTGTCTATCCGTGTGTCTGTTACTGACAGTATTACTGTTGCCATCTCCCTAACGTGCTACTCTGAGATTGTCACTTAAGATTCTACCCTACTAATTACTATTTATAAACGTCTAAAATCATGCAATCAGCAATGCATTGGATCTCTCTACATTTTAATTTAACATAGACCTTTGATGGGAAGTGTTACTAGCGAAAATTCTGATAGTCTGTTACATCGATATCTGTTGTGTTTTTAAAACGTGGATATTAAATTCAAGTTTTATTTACTATTTTAGCACAAACACAGTATGATGTGGCTAGTAAGAAATCCAGCACAATCAATATAGCACCATAAGGAAATACTTTGAGCTGCAATGCTAGTGTGTTCACATAGTGGGTTACACATATTGAAGGCAAAATAATGCTTTTTGATTGGTTTGTACTGCTTCATAGTCTAAGGGTTAGGGGGAGGGGAATGGCTAGAAGACTTGATTACCTCACTTTTCAAGGAAGTTGCATCAGTCATGCAGTGCTGATTACTGAAGAGATATCCTCTCGGATATAAAAAGTTTGTTTCGCGTTTGCCAACTTATACTACCTCTGGCTACTTATGAAAGGACGAGTAATTTTCACGGAAGTTTGTTCTGTCCTGTTGTGTAGTTATGAAATATGATCGTTGAAAGTGGAAGACTTCGTGAAGTTGCGGCTTTTTTGTTGTCATAATTATCTCGTGGCTTTTGCTCATGGATATTGTAATCACCTTGTAGGCAATGGTAATGTTACATGTAAAACAGTAAGCAAGGAAGGCGAGTCATTTAATGAAGTTTTAAAGCCTAACCAACTGAGATGGCTTAGACATATGTTGCGCATATCAGGCCACTCCCTATCTCTACGTGTAGGGTTAGCTGAAGCAGGATTGATTTCAGAGAAAACTTAGCGTGTTCAGACCAAGACGTGGTAATACTCCATGAAGTTTTTTATTGGTCTGGAACCGCGTTCAGAGGTAGAGGTGTAGGCTATTTGGTTTGTCTGTTGTTGCGTGTGCTATACCGTCGTTGATTGGACCGAATTGATCGGTCTCTATTGGCATATGGGCTCCTGCATAGATGCCTCGATATTGCCTGTTTTTAATTATATAGTAATGATGGATAGTGCCTAGTAGTGGAATCCAGGATGCTCATTTCGTCCTGTTTGGGACTTGTCAACTGGATGTGCCTGCCTCCCAGTGAGTGATGTTTTTCCCACTGGGATTCGGACTCGGGACCAGTCGCTTCAAACGCAATATCGAGGCATCCGCACAGAAGCCTGAATGCCAATAGAGACCGATCAATTCGGCCCAATCATTACGGTACAGTACAAGAAATTACACTAAAACTATATCCGTCGCACAAGAAGTGGCTATCGTGGCTCGGTTGTCTAGTGGACAACGCTCTGGCGTTTGAAGCGGTCGGCCCCGGGTTCGAGTCCCGGTGGAAGCAACACCCATTTGGAAGGCAGGTGCATCCAGCTGACGAGTCCTAAATAGGACGAAATGCACATCCTGGATTCCACTGTCGGCCATTATGCATTATTACTATATCTAGTTAGTGTCCTCGAAATGATATGAACCAGTGAATTCATTTCAGTTGCTGAAAGTTCACAATCTTATGGACTGACCTACTTGTCTTGCTTTGTGTCCTCCACCGTACATCAACGTTTCTTACATTCTGATTAATGCTACGATAATATCTATGGTCAACAAAAACTGGTTAAATCTGTCCTGAAACTGCTCGCTGAAAAATTTCAACTCCTTATGATCAATACATTAAACTGTGGACACATTGTATTTCCTACTAACATTCATTGCATATTTTTATTGATATTTTCCATCTGATTAAATATTTTTTCCCTCTTATTCTGTTGGTTTTCCTCTTTTTTTAAAAGTCAGGTAAAGCCTACAGTGCCCGTTATATTGGATCTATGGTTGCCGATGTTCATCGTACTTTAGTGTATGGTGGTATTTTTCTTTATCCAGCTACAAAAACATCACCTCAAGGGAAAGTAAGTGGTTATTTATGTGTTGGAGTTTTTAGTTTTTCTACAGTAGAATGATGTTAGTACTTTTATAACCGAAAAAACATGCCACTTAGATGCGTAGATGAGGAATTCAGTTGTATTTTTGGAACGTTGACAATCGATCAGGTGAAATTTTGTAATTTTATCCACCATACGTTGATTACACAGCAATTCATAAGGTGTTCACACAACCGAGTTCGTTGTGATGTTTCAGAAGCTCCAGCAATAGTGATAACGTTCTGTAAAGTGCAATCAGATAATCTACCAGCTTCGTGTTGTTTTGCTCTGTCTATATAGTAGAAGTCTAAGATCTGTGAATAGCTTTTAGCTTACAGTTTTGTTCTTAATTATCATCGATGTTAAGGTATGTGTGTGTGCTCACAACACTGATATTGGTTAAAATGAGAATCTCCACTTCATAACATCGAAATTTCTAACTTCAGGCTAAATTGAAGCTCTAAGCATGAAAAGAAGGATCCTTACCTTACGGGTAGCGAATAAAGTGCGAACATCTCACGTAACTATAATCAGTCAAACCGTTATTTGGTTAGCGACAACCGGTAGGAAGCCATGGATTTAAGTGTCGTGCTTGTTGGCACTTGTCAGCAGGGTGTATCTGCAACCCCAACGAAACTGATGTCCACTGTAAGGTTCGAACCCGCATCACCCAGTATTGTAGCCAACGAAGTTTCCACTGAGATATTGTGGCAGCGATTGATCTCCTCTAGGACTTGATTGGATACATTGGTTGGTCACTGGAGGGTAACCAACTTCATGCTATCTGATTATAAGTGAATGGACGTTACCATTGAACTACTACTAGGTTGGAATCCAGTCGTTGACACTTTCCTACTTCTACCGATTTGTGATGTAGCGCGTCCATGACCCACTGCCATCATTGACTATCTGTCTTGATATCCGACTTCGTTTGCCCCATGGGTTATAACTTGTCATTAAAACGTGAGGAAACCTATTTCGCAGAGTTTCATTAATGAGCAGTACTTGGTTAGTCTAGAGGTTTATGAGAACTTAATGATTTCAAGGTTGATATTCATCCTAACTGACATCAGTTTTCACTGATTCTCTAGCTAATGTGAATCCATGATGAAGAATACGCCGTGAAATTTCACTATAGTAACAGTGCATGTTTGACTACCAAGCAGTTAGATATTATAATATCAAGAGGGCGGATTTTTTGATGCCTATATTGCACAGTTTTCTGACCAACAATGGACTGGATGCTTTGAAAGGACTTGGGCACCGATTTATTATGATTCATCATATAAGGTATATTTTTACTTTGTGTACTCCTGACGTAGGATATTAGAACAAATAAACAAATATTTTGTACTGTGTGGTGATTAGAGGTGAAATGAAAATTTCGACTGCAGCCGGATTCGAACCAGTGACCACTGGGTTTCTAGCTCGATGCTCTCTACCAACTGATCTACGAAATCCGACTGCTATATTACTCCTTAACATTTCAATCTTGCTAGGAAGATCGTTTTCTTCAAGAGTGTGAATCTGATATTAAGTTTTCAGGTTAATATTCAAATAATGTGAGCGAAGAAATATTTCTTTTCAATTAGTTCCTCATCAATGGCTCTACACTAATATAGCATTTATCAAACGTAGAATTACATACCAATCTAGTGGTGAGAGTTGTCTAGTGACAGATTATCAATCTCAAAGTATTAAGAAGGTGATAATTGATCAGGTAATTAAGACAGTTAACTAAAGCAAAGATTAATTATCGTAGAAAGATTTTGTGAACTTGTTCTTCACTTCACATAATTGGTATTTTATATAATGATAACTAAAGAGCAAAAATGAACTGTTACGTAAAATGGTAAATTGTTGACGGTAATTAGAGACAGTAGGGGGACAGTCTGTAATAATAATAATGGAGCTTTTAAAATATTAGTTATAGTGAATTGTGTGGTGGATGAAATGAAGAGTCTTGTTGTAATAAATGAGCTATACAGGTGGCCAAGGCAAAGAAAGAGGCTGTACGAATCTCTTCTGAACACACAGACTTGGCTTGTGTAGGTGGATTCCTATGGCTTCTGCTGTATGTAAAAGACGAACTCGTAGAGGATGGGTGAGGTGAGAAGGAATGTGATAAATAACTTTAAAGGCATTATGAATGTTAACTCGGTGGCCGGTGTGAATCAGATGAGAGAGTATTGAGCTTCGTGTCAATCTGGTTTCCCCCTTACTTAGCCATGAAGGATGATGCTCGGCGATTCGACGACGGACTTGCTTAACTGTACGTCCAATGTAACTAGCTCCACAGGAGCAGTTGAACTGGTAAATGCACATAGAAGAGGAGAAGTCAGGGAGTCTGTCTTTAGTTCGTGTGGTCATCATCGGCCGGCTGTAGAAAACACAACATAACTTGGCGGCATTAAATGATCTTCTTATGGCATTTCTTAAGCGTTGTGTCACAATTTCGCTGATGATGTCACCTCGAAATTGTAGTCTTAGGAACAATGGTTTCTTGGAGACTGTAGGCATTCTGGTTTTCATATTGGATGTGTTCATATTTTTAGCCAGGAACGTTTCTGGATATCCATTACTACTGAGTAGATCGTGGATAACTTGAAGCTCTTCGTCAAAACTATCATCTGAACAGATGAGTTTCGCCCGATGGACCAAACATTTAACGAGATTTCGTTTATATTGCAAGGGGACGAAACTCAAGAAGTGGGTGTATTGACCTGTTGACGTTGGTTTCCGATACACACATCTTTTTATAGTTCCATCCACCTTCCTTGTCAATCGGACATCTAAGAAGGTGATGCTGTCGTCACTTTCTGTTTCAATAGTGAAGGTTATTGCTGGATGGACGCCATTGAATTCATCCAGTATGATCCTTGCATCGTCCTCATTATTCACAATCAAAAATGTATCATCTACATAACGGTAGTAAAATTCCAACCCGCTTATGATGTTGGTACAGAAGGTGACTTTTACAATCATCCAATTCACATCGGGATATAGAACAAAGATGAATATAATGTTGTAGGTTGAGGGAATCAACAAATTGGTTAGAAAGGCTTTTTCCAGTTGAAACAAAAATAGGGTGGGGAAATTTAGTTCCACTATGGAAATTACAATGAGGTTATGAGATAGATGAATATTCGAACATCAAACAACATATACTAATTAATAATAATAATAATAATAATTATAATAATGATGATAACGATAAGGGCACTTTTGATAAAACAGCTGAAGTATGAATGATAACAAAATGGATCATGTAATATATAAACTACTTCATAGAGTGTGTATAACTCAGAAAGGAATGTGAAATTGATGAAAATAGTAAATCAACAAAGTATTATGTAGTAGGATTAGACAAGTTGGCTGAAATACAACTAGTGTTTTTTTTTGACGTGATTAAGATAATTAAGAGAAATAACACTGGGAATCATTCAACCATGAGTAAATTCGCAGTAAATCATCATTATCGTCATTATTATTATTACCGTTACTATTATTATTATTCAACCACACAGTTAAGACTATTGTATGAATGCGCTCCGATGGCATTTATCATGGAACAAGCTGGTGGTATGGCAACAGACGGTCGCATTCCAATTTTGGATATTCAACCGCAAAATATTCATGATCGATCACCAATATTCCTTGGAAGTAAAGAAGATGTAGGTGAATTAATGAATATAATTGAAAAATTTAATTGAATCCTAGTCGCTGCTGTTCACTAAGTCACTAAATGAACTGATAAATACATAGATAATGGAAGAGCAGATAACTAAGTGAATATTGTTAACCTGTATAATTTGATTATATCTCCAACTCAGGACCATCTTTCCTCTAGCTTTTTTTCTGATGTTCTCCTTTTTTATAGCTCTGATTTTTCTCTTTTTTCTGCCTTCTTGTTATAGTTTTTTTGGCGCCCTTTTTCCTTTTTTTTTGTTACAAAACTGCCTAATTTGATTAAATTTTTCTATCAGTCATTTTTTGACTCATTGAGTGTTTACCTACAACCAGTTGGGTATTGTTCACTGGATTAGTCACTCATCTTTCAACCAAGTTCACTTTATCCATCTACCGACTTTTGACCAGCTAGATTATGAGCTGTCACACAGTTGGAGGGCTCCATTGACTGATACACAAGTCCACTGTTCATTACTAAGTTACACTACTTACCAGACTATGAGTAATACTTATGCCTGAGATTATTTTATGTATCCAGGCTGGGGAACGTAGGTGGAAACTTACACCCAGGATTCATCACTTAAAGTTGAGTGCTTACAACAAAAACGGGGAGAGGGGATTCCCGAAGTTTTAGTGAGAATTGACCGGTGGCACCAACCAAGTTGAATATGACGGGAGTTACTCAACAACGGGATTGGATGGAGGTTGCGCTATATCGTGAACTGATAGAAGTTGAAAATATCGACCGTTTGACCCCGACTCAGTGACAAGATGCTGGCCACGGAACCTGAAGGTGCTGGTTTCGCACTGCTGAAGAGTCCCACACTAGGACGAAGCAAATGGTGCCCAGTGCTTCCACTTTTCCAATGTTTCTCCAACTGATATCATTCCATGATAAATACCAACCTGAAACAATAAATCCCCACAAACCTCAACATTAAAATTAAATCCATGATTTTGGTCACATCAGCTTCACTGACGAAGAAGATGAATTCTTATCCTCCACAGCAGATGGCTTCGTACTGCCCAGGAAAGAAACTTAGCGCGTTGAACTTGGCGTACAGCTGTTTAATGTGTCGGTATTAGATGTTAACATTATAGACGGATGCTTGTTTGTTTGCATAATCAGTCAGTATGAGTTCCGGAAATTCTTTCAGCAGGTCTTCATGAATACAACTGTTGACTCCAGTGAATACCACTATGTTGTTGGTTTCGGTACCTGTGATTACCCCAGCAGTATCAAAGTCGCGTTAACGATCAATGAGCTTGTGATGACTAATGTCCAACAAAAATTCGTAGTGCTGTGGAAAATCTATTCAGATAATTGATGAAGTTATATCACCAATGACGAACTTCCAGGTGTATGTCGTAATAAGCCCAACGTTCAGTACTAATTCTCTTTGACCGTAGTTTCTGATACTGATTTGTTGACATATTGCAATATCATTTCCAGACTAGGTTGTTTCCTCTCGGTGGCGGTCGGTAGAACTCCACTTGCATGTGCTCCAATGTCAACTGAAAACTGGGCTCCAGCACGTTTTCCGGTAATGTAAAACAAACAACTATGTGATTGGTCTCTGCTGGTCACAGGAGTTATTACAGACTGCCGGCCTTCTTCCGAATGCAATCTCACGTTATAATCACATGGCATCAGACAGTGTAGAGCTTGGTCGTTGTTTTTGTGTTGGTATCAGTATGTCGAACTGTCTATTCGTCTAACGGACCGTGTGTTTGGAGATCTATTTCTAGAAACATTTCGTGAACGGCCTCCATTTTATACTCTAACGCCGTGATTTTATCTGTTTATGAGGTATATATACTCTGTGACGCTGGGGAAAATCTTATTTCATAAATCTGATCTGCAATAGCTGCTAGCTTGTCTATGTTGACTTCATCATCTCCAAACGTCAGTATCTGGTGTACTTTTTGAGGTAACAACTTGAGACAGAACTAACAAAACAGAATCTGTTGTCTACTGTTCGGTTACTTAGTATAGTATGCATATAACACTTTAATTGAGATGGTGTTCTGTCACCCAACTGGCCGTTGCTGAGGAGATGACCTATCGCCTATTATTCTGAAAAATAGCTGTTAAAACTGCCATCGTAAGGTTTTTTGGAGTCAGGATATCCCTCACTAGTTCAGCGACATCATCTGGCAACAAGGTGCTCAAGTGGCCAAGCTTAAGGTTTTATGGTGTAACCTTGTTGGCTGTGAAAGAGTGTTCCAAACGAGTAAACCACAAAAATGGAACTCCAGCTTTAAAGACAAGAACAGTGAGAGTTAAAGCACTCAGAGATTCGGAATCAGAGGAAACAAGTAAATCACTGTTTTATAACATAAAAGAAGTGAGGTGCAAAGACTCATCACAGTACTGACAAACTGTTGAAAAAATACTGAGTGGGAGGACTGTTGGGGTAAAAACTTTCGCCAGATTATTATAAATCCAACGGTTAACTATTCATTTTGGCGAAAAGCTTTACAATATATATATATATATATATATATATATATATATATATATATATAATCCATAATCTCCTGCTGGGTTCTATGTTTGCCAGAAATGATAGGTGTTGTGACTCACCAGATTTTTGAAGCGCACGCTCACCTGACTCCAATTGCGAATATGCAAACTTAAGTATTTTCATGTCTTCTTAGCTCTTCTACGTTGCTGATCCATCAGTCTCAGACAACGTAAACAACAGAAGAAACAGATGGAGGTAATAGAGAATTTATTCGCAATAAAAATCAATTCAAAAGCCGTAACCAGACCAGTATCATTTCAACACGACGTTGAATAAAGAATTGCAAATCGAATGCAATGCCGACAAGTGAAGTTGAATTACATTTGTAACCTGTTTTACTTCACCTTTCACTAGTTCACACCCTTCGCACAGTATGATGAAAAGGTCAGAAAGGATACGCAGCTCAAGGTGGGGATGATTGTCGTTTTGGTGTTCTCTGACAAAAAGTTTCTTTGCAGTATATATTACTTATGTCAGTTAGTAGTATATTACACGCAGGATTCGTTTTTACAGTCTTAACACCGTTTTTTGTCCACCAAATCACATTATTTGATCTGAATATTTTAGTTCTCTGGGGAAACCATCTAAGCTGTCATTGCGGATTGCGTTTTTTCGCAAACATCTGATTTAAAAAGATGATTCTGATACGGCTTTCAACAAAATAAATTGTTGCACAATTTTACCTTAATAGTTTGTCTTCGAATTCATGTTACTATCCGATGTATGTTTATTATTTCGGCTACACAAACAAACTACTGTGATCAGGAAGTGACACCAATCCTTGACGATTCTGACTGCCAGTTTAAGCCGCATGACTGCGGTCCTTGAGGTGACAGACATCAATGCTAGTTGGATGGGAGGGGACCGGCAGGAAGTCCTGGACTTAGATTTCTGGCTTGTTTGGACTTGTCAACAAGGTGTCTCTGCGACCCCAATGGAATCGGTATCCCGTCTGAGATGCGGACCCATGTCACCCAGGTTTTGTTTCGTGACGTATTACCACTGGACTATTCGGGCCGAGACTGACCTCCTGTAGGATTGGGTTACATGGTCACTGGAGGGTATCCACCTTCATGTTGTCTAGTCCTAAGTGCTGATAGAATTCTATCGATCAAGTGGTAACGTCGCTGACTAGAACACTAGGTGGCGCGGGTTTGAATCTCACGCTGGATATCAGTTCCGTAGATGTTACAGATATGCTTTGCTGACGAGTGCCAACAAGCACGAAACCTAGATCCATGGTTTCCTGCTGATTGGCTACATCCAACTAACATTTATCATAGTGTATCACGATGTTGAGGTGCCTAGTTCGGTGACCACATTGCAAATATGGTCGATTGAATTCGATCACTACTTAGGACTGGAGAACATGAAGTTGGTTACCCTCCAGTGACCAATCAGTGATAGACGTCAGTGTGTGGGGCTCAGCAGAATGGTTCAGGATCGATAACAACAGCTCAGATATGCTCATCTCTTGTCATCTATCCTTTTCCCTGTTATATGCTTTTATCTACTTGACTGTTCTTTATTTGTCTTTCACTAAGCTGCCTTTTTTTTTTACCAGCTGTCATGAATTTGCGAATACTTGAATTAAGTAGCGAAAAATCCCCATTCGGTCATTGGAAAACCAAAAAAGAGGTTATAGCGAGGATGATTTTCTGTTTCGATAACTCATTTTCACTGCTGTACATTCGTAAATAAATAAGTTGAATGACAGAATGTTCCAGGTACGTTTCTGATCAAGGGTCAAACTTAATCGATAAGTGTATGTAAAAATTGGAACGATATTACACAACATAAGAAATGATTTCAGTAGTTTTTATAAGTCGCAGTGAACGATAAGATTTGGTATCGAGTAAAAGTAAATAAACAAATATGTAATAAAATATAAACAAATAAAGTACAAGATAAAATGCAAACAGGTGCAGAGTACCTGAATAAAGCCATGGTAAAGAGAGTGTATGTACATGTTTCTGTTGAATACACAATTGAGGTTTGAAGTTGTGGACTGCCTCAGCTTCGCCTGCACATAAGTGTCTGGTCCTTAACCCTTTTGAGAGGTTTGATTGAAATTTGTGGGGAAATTTGAACGAATTTCCTAGAAAATTCAGATATCCAGAGTCTACAAGGTGTTCAAGGATGCAGCTGGGGATGGTTTTTCGCTCACCTTTCAGCAACCAGGCTAGATAATGTTCGGGAGCACGTTTTTGAAGTGAAAGAATTGTGCGATCAACGTACAGGAGGAAGTGAACTTGTGAATGCTGATTGATGAGGATCTTTCACACACTGATGAATCAGCTGTTAGCGGCGTAGAATGTTCCTACTTAGAGACTTCGATAAACCATATGCTCGTAACAACCGATCAATTTCATGAAGATTAGATGCGTAGACGATAACTTCATCGTTTGTGATGACAACCTGGACCTCACATGCCTCCTAAATTTCAGCCTTCAGTCAGATTTACACTAGAAACCGAATCAAACTCGACGTTCCATTCTCTCCATGTCGAACTCCAAAGGAGTTCTAACTAACGCCATTGAAAGAACCACCTATAGGAAGCTCACTCGGAACGGGCAACTGAGTTGGGTGCCTTTAAGTAGCAAGACGAGTCCTATGCGCAGTATTCAAGAAATACTGTTGGTGAATGGCTACCCATCCTGATCTACAGAGGAAAATATGAACGGAAAGAAGACTATGGGACAGATTCAATGAACTCTGAGGAAAATACTTTTAACAAACCTCAGATTTAGAAGTGATATTGCCGAGGATATCCTTAGTCAACGTCTGTCAGACTGAAAGTAAAGGAAGCGTAGAATATTTTTGTACCATACGTTGGAAAATGTAAAAATCTTGCTTTGAAGATAATTCACCATCATCGATTTTCAATTCATATTCAAGCCTTTTTTAAAGATGAGTATTTGCCATCAGTAACCTCGCCTGGTTAACTAGTTTACTAGTTACTAGCCGGTCCTAAGCCCGGGTAAAGAGGGAAGGTTGGGCATAGGGCTAGCAACCCTACCCCGTAAAACAAATCTAACCGCTAAAGAAACTTCAAAGCACAAACAAAATATAAAAAATGAAAACAAACTTATTCCCCGCTGGAATCGGAGAGGCGAAATGACGCCAGTTGGTGAAAGCCTTCGGGAAGCCAATTGGCCGATGTGTCTTCTCTCGATGAAAGCGAAAGTAAACGTGGGGACATGGAATGTCCGCACGATGTTTGAACCCAGTAAGGCAGCCCAGATTGCAAAGGAGATGAGAAGGTATAACATCGAAGTGCTTGGGATTTGCGAAAGCAGATGGAATGGGAGTGGACTCTCCAAACTGTCAACTGGAGAATCAATAATCTACTCCGGTCACCCAGACGCCAACCACGAGCACACTGAGGGAGTGGCTATCATGATGTCCTCAAGAGCATCGAAGGCTCTCATGCAGTGGGAACCAATCTCCTCCAGGATCATGACAGCAAGATTCAACTCAAAAGGAAGAAAGGTCACAATCATACAATGTTATGCACCTACAAATAATGCAGAGCAAGAGAAAAAGGAGGAATTCTACAGACAACTTCAATCAACACTGGACAAGACGTCAGTTGGCGATATCAAAATTCTAATGGGCGACATGAATGCCAAACTGGGAGGGGACAACACGGGAAGAGAACTAACCATGGGTCGAGAGGCGCTAGGTGAAATGAATGAGAATGGAGAATTGTTTGCAGAATTCTGTGCATTCAACGATTTGGTGATTGGAGGCAGTGTGTTCA